TGCACGATAATAGCCCAGTAGATGGCACAACACTGGTGTGGAAGATGATTAGGATGGTTGGGCCAATAGATACTGCCAAGTAGATGGCGCAACCCTTGTGTGAAAGATGATAATTATGGTGGCGCCCATAGATGGCGCAACTCATTCCCCTATCCTTTCCTGTCCTTCTTGTATCTAACATGTTCCTTTTTTCATCTCCTGTTGCTTAACTCTGTTCACTTCTCCTTTCCCTTCCCTTCCCCTTCCTTTTCTGGACTAGTCTTTCCATCTATTTCTTTTTATGTTTCTTTTGTTTGCTTTCCTTTCCTCACCTTTGCTATCCTTTCCTTAATGTCTCCTTTCCCTCTCCTTGGATGCCTTTCTTTTCTTTCCTTTCCTTCATTCACTTGTCCTTTCTCTATCCTTCCCTTGCCTTTCCCTTACCTTTCCGTTTCCTTGCGCTTGCACTTGAACCAATAACAGAACGCTGCACGATAATAGCCCAGTAGATGGCACAACCCTTGTGTGAAAAATGATTAGGATGGTTGAACCAATAGATGGCGCAACTCATTTCCCTCTCCCATTCCTTCTTGTATCTAACATGTTCCTTTCCTGTTCATCTCCTTTTGCTTCATTCTTTTCACTTCTCCTGTGCCTTCCCTTCCCGCATCATTGGAAAGGTGGCTTGCGCCATCTAATGTCGTGCCTGCTGCTTTCAGGGCCAAACATTTTATAGCGGTCTTTCACGAAACGGATTGTAAAAGTAGATGGCGCCAAACCCATCCCCGACTAGTAGTTTCCCATTCATTGTCACGGCTTTTCGCCTAACATGGCTTGCGCCATCTGCATCTGGGTTTTTTCGTTCCAGAGGCGTTTTTCCCTACACAATAAATGGCTCATTACAAAAACCTGAGCCAAGTTTTCTGACCCCAGAGTAAGGATTCCAGCGTTCTTACCGGAAAGCAAACATGGCCATGGCACTGCAGGGAGTTGATCGGGAGCCATACACTTACAAACGTTACACTGATCGGCAGTCTCCTTAGAATCCACCAAAAGAGTTTTGTGCATGAAACCGAGGAAGTACAATCCATCTTCCACCGCCCTCGAAGAAGATGACCTCCCATGACCTCATCTCCCGGCGACACCCCCACTCCTCGTCCCGTTGGATCACGCTCCGCAGCTCCCGGCGCCACTGCGGCCAATGCGAAAAGAGCCGCTCCCAGAAGTCCTGGGCGCTCCTGGACGCTGCATGACGAGGCAAAAGGGAAGGAGGTGGTCAAGGGAAGGAGGTCATCATGGTGGCCAGTGACGTTGAGAAAGGAGAAAGGTGGCCAAAAACATCAGACCATGTGTGGTTGAGGTGGGAACATGCTGGCGGCAGATCACAGCACAAAGGGAGAAAGGACGACAAGTACAATGCTGAAATCAGTTCAAGTTCATTATGATTCCCTTCGCCTTCGACGCCTTATTTGTTTACGTTAGCATGATTAGCGTGGGAGTGGGTTCAACATAAGGCAACCACGATGCCACGGTTGGATGCTAGTGGCTGGCGTGGCCGATGAAAGGGACCGAGCACTAAATGAGTGCTATAATGGATTCAAGTACATCACACATCGTAATTAGGAATCTGCTATAGATTCCTATAGACTATCTTACTGTCTCAGCATCTGCACATCTGCACAACGCCAATCTCTGGCCTGGTCTCATTCAAAACCGTCGCAACGACTGAACAGTTGCTGCTTAACTCTGCTTGGACAAGGCTCTCAATCTGCGTCTCTGTGCTTGTTGTAGAGGTCACCAAATGGCCAGGCACTTTGCCTCCACAGTTCAGCGCAGCAGGTTCGGTCAGAGCAATCTTTGGAGTTTGGGCGAATCTAGCTTGAAGGCGCTCCTAGGATGGAGGCCATCGCTATTAGGTTCCTAAAAGTATTTGTTCTAAAAATCTATTCGACCCACTTTGATCCTATCAGCTCATGGGACCGGACATGTGTTGAAACGAAGCAACAATGGGTGCACATGATTCAATGATGCTGCCCTTAGTTCTGGGTGTATAGGCAAACCTTTTGTGATGGAAAAATTGGTCAGTCCCTGGGTGCTTACATTTTGCTGATGTCATGGGCTTGATCACAACCCCTAAACATGTTGCGTGTACAACTCTGGCAACCAATCATCATGTATAATCATGCATATAAATATATATCTATTTATTTATTTACAGTACAATTCTTTTTACTACTACCTACAATCAATTCACCCACAGCAACCAGCCACTACTGACACCAGTCCGTCGGAGACCACCACGTCCCGCACGACCAAATGGTGCCTAGGGCGCTGAACAGGAGCGGCACAAAGCACCAGGACTGTGTCCTTTCGGGACATGCCGTGCCATTCTGATCAGTGTCAAGAACAAAAAACACCCCAGCCCTGCCGTCGTTGAATTCAGATGAGCACATATGCTAGTCCAATAGATTGGTCTGCAAAGCCTTCAGGGTGCGGCTGAGACTTAGACTTTCGATGGCATTTCATCCAAACATCAAGCCAAGTTTCTTGGGCAGCTTCTTGTTGCACTTGCCAGCCACTCTCACCCCAAGCTCTTCGAAGCCCAACACATCTTTCCATCCATCCACACCTGCAACGTGGATGCAACTGGATGCAATGAGTGCCTGGTGCCCTACAAACAGGGCAACACACCAACTCAAAGACCAAAACAAGGCAAAACCGCCATGAACACCTGGATATCTAAATTACGTTTTGACTCTATCCCAGAATCATAGCTTGAGAATGGAAGGTGTTCAATGGATTCCAACCCAGGGGTCATTATATTATGCCCAAATGGATCGGGAGATGACTCTTTTGATTTCATACCCCAAGTTCACCAAACAGCAAGACACTGTGGTACTCTGGATACTTCTTCCTCTTTCACAGAGTTTTTTGGGATATGGATCACGGACGTGAGCTAATGGGGAACGCTTCACTCGCTGTATGGATTGGCTGTGTGATTTCAGAGTAGAGTAGATGACAGTAGATGTCAAAACTCCAAAAGCTAAGTGATGAACAGCTGGACCCCCATCTCTGGTCTCCCTGGACCATCGACGGTCAAACTCGTCACCGTGGTCACCGACAGCTGTCACTACTCGTGGATATCCTTTCTATAAACAATCCGACAATGGAGATGCATGGTATTGTAAACACCTCTGAATATCTACAAATCAACCTCTGAAAGTACAATGAAGGAGTTGCCTTCCCATGGCTATTCCACATCGACTTGAACATACTTGAACATAGCATCTGCAGCATCTGCCAAACCCTCGACCTTATCTTCCAACCCTCGACCCTCCCAAATCCACCTCGCAAGCTGCAGCGCCCCGACTTGGGCTTGGGCTTCGCCGTTGGCTGAACCGGACTCTCCGAGCGGTCTTTGCGCTTCATGACCGCGGGGGGAGCGAAGAAGCAGCAGGAGCTGGGCAGCTGGGCTGTGTTGGTGGTAAAAACGTCACATGACATCATCACACCCGGCCGAGACCATGTAGGATGAAGATGAGGCCCGACATATTCGACATTTTGCCCATGAGAGACGATGTGGCCCGATGTCACTGACCAAGTGGGAAAGCGAAAGTAGAAAGGGTATCTGTTTCTTACTGAGAAGTCTGACATTTTGCCTAGAGATTTTGAGCCTGGAGGATAGGTTCCTAAAGTCAGAAGAGCACGCACTTCTGGATCTCATCAGAATGTTAGTACATATATATAACAATTAGTTGCTTGCTTCACTTCACTGATTCCAGGCCGCCAGGGATGGCCCGACCCATGTTGTCCATGCACATCCTGCCGCATGTGCGGCCTGTTTTTCCATGTAAATGCTTGATTCGGCTAACGCTGAGAAGCTGCGGGAATCTGCGGGACACTGCTTCGACTCGCAACAAAAACAAGTCAAATGGCCTAGCCTATCCTCCATCTCAAGACAAGGCTGCGCCCATTCCCCGCCATTCTCTATGTACTGATAAGTGACAAGGCCGGTCATTCTCAGAACAAGTAGATCGTTTGGTCTTGGAACATGCTGCACCCTCAAGGTGGACCCAACGATGCCACCGTGCTCCACACTGCCACACGTGTCAAACAACACCAGTTCCCCTGCAAAGAAGGCCTTCCAGTGCCAATGCATGGAGGGTCTCCAAGTCCTCATGCAGCTCCTCGTGTCTCCAGTCGAAGGAAACTCCAAAACAACACATGAAAACAACGTGAACAAGGAAAACACATGGGCCCCAGTGTTTTTGTTTGAGCCACCTCACAGATTCTCGACTCAAGGCTAGGCACATTTGGTAAGTTTTTTGTTCAAGGAGATGATCTTGAGTACACATGCCAAGTCTTAAGATTACTGACGCAACGTATTTTGGAGGGCGGTCCTCAATGAGTTAGTTGTCTTGAACGGTCGCTGGACCGTGGTGTTTCTTTCATACCTGATGTGTCACAACTAGACTCATCCTCCAAAAGCTTTTGCGGGTTATCCACTGATTGCTGTCGACGTCGCCGATGGGTGAAGTCGACAAGACCACCAAACAGGTGAAGTATCCAGGGAGCCCTACCAGTCTCTGTCTCAATCTCCTATCTACTTGACTATTATATATATATATAGTATAGTTATATAATATATACCAGGTCGGTCGTAGATATGTTTTTGTTGCTCCAGGCTTTCCGCAGGGGTGTAGCATCAAAAAAGTGGTCCCACGAAACACATGAGGTTGTGTAAAACCCCCCCTACCTTTCCCTATACCACTTTTGACGTTATCGTTCTTTTTTCTTCCTTATCGTTTTACAGCACTTTGCATAACTGCAACAAATGTAGTAACAGTATAATTTAGGTACAGTGTGATGTAGCGTGTGCACTACTACATGCTTGTGGTGTGTGGAACCTTGCAGATGTGAAGACATTAGGCACACTTCATTCCAACTACACCCATGTGGTGGCCTGCCTACGGAAAGGTGTTTTAGGCTCGCTGTGTTATCGTTTTTGTTATCGTTTTGTTATCGTTTTCATGCCTTGTGCAAGTTGGAAAACCATGTGGCACGACAATGCTGCAGCACAAGGCTACAGCGGACCAAGCCCTTCCACCTCTGTCCAAGCATATACCACGTCTCGCATGTCAAGGGTTTTGCACAAGAGTCATCGGGGTTATTGTTTTTTTGCTTCCTTTTCGTTTTACAGGGGATTGAGCATGCTTTCAGAAAAACGGACATGCGAATACTAATTTCTTACATGGGTTTTTTTAATACTCTCTCACATGGAACATCTCACATGTTTCAAGGGGACCCACCACAGAAACACTTTCCCCTATCCAACTCAAACACACCTATCTATGTAACAAACTTCCAGGGAACAACAGTTTAATAAATAACATTTAATAGCGCTTCAACAAAATCCACAGATTTCAGTATGTTTTGTAATGCAGGGTGTTGTTTTGTGTCACATGTTGCCCATATGCTTCTCACAATCTGCTTTGGGCACCGCCCCTTTCCATTCGCACCGCTCCCGTTCGGCTCCTCGGAGGCCAGGAGCTCGGCCAAGCCCCGCGCGGAGGCGCAGATCGAGAGACCTCCACGGAACCTCCGCGCGAACGCCACGCAGGACTCGTCGGTGCCGCGTCGCGTGGTGCGTCGTGTGGAGCGTCGATCTGCGTGCGTCGTGTGGTGCGTCGTGTGTGAAGGTCGCTTTGATGCTGGTGGCGTTGGGTTGGCGGGGAAAGGGTGCTGGGGGTGACATGGTCGTGTTGGTTGTAATTTGGAAAGCTTATTTTTAGCCGAAAGCAAAGATTCCTCAACGACCTCCTATGCGAGCACATGCAGTTTCCTATGCTGGGATGAAGCTTAAGCAAATCGATTCTGGAGCCGAGGGTTGGCTTATACCTATTACTCATTACTAATATCGCAGGTCCACACTGAGAATCTCTGAGATTCATAAGACTCACTACAGTGAATGTTTCTTCGAAAAGGACGATGCTCTATGTCACACAGGTCGACATAAACCACCACAACGTCCTCAAACAGTTTTCGGATGTTTCCACAAAATCTGTCCAGCCTGCACCTGTTTGGTACCTTTAAACAACCACCATGAATTCAGGCCAGCAAAGCGACCACCCTCCAGCTTGCGCTACACCAAGTCAAGGGACAACCCTCCAGCGCCCGCATTGCCCTGAAGTGGGTCGAACCTGAGTAGGACGTGGAAGGTTGGGCCGCCCCCCCATGCAGCGTGTTCACCTTGCCGTGGGTTCCCTGGGTCGATGGTTTTGGCCTTGTCGATTTCAGTCTGGAACACCCTAGCGAAGCTCCTCGGTAGATCATAGATTCAATATAGGACCCTCCAAGGGGTGCCCTGTCTGGAAGCCTATAGGTGGTGTGGGGTAGTCCATTGGACACGCCTTGGAGGGTCCAGGTATAGATGATCAGTTCACGAGGCCATGTTAGCTTGTAGAATAGGGCCCAATCGGGTAGAACAACATCAGGTATTGCCGGCATGCTACTATTATTATGAGTCTGTTTGCTACCGACAGTTAAGGTAGATTCCCAGTTAAGGTCTATCTATCATGCCTCTTTTTGGACTTTGAATTGAACCTTTGGGCATTTCGAGAAGGGCTGCATGAGCTGACACTCAAGAACGCGGGATCTACCGTTTGTTTCAGGCACTTTTCACTTCACTAAGAGAAGGCGCTATTGCCAAGGCTTCTCATACCCGAGATGGTGAGCAGTGAGACAAAAGGTTTGTTTCAAAAAACAGGACCTCCCGAACATACACAAAATAGGACAAGTGTACCAAAAACGCAGAAATCCTCAAGTCATCGGCGCTTCAAGTCATCAGTTGCAGTTGATACAGACTTTGCAATCTCTGTGTATCGTCAGGCATCGGCTGCTGTGGACCTTGGCCGCTTTGGCCTCCCGACACCAGCGGATCTCGCGCAATGGCCTCACAGCGCCACGAGTTATCGGCACCCAGTTTCAAACAAAGCAGCGACCAGTTTGGGTTCAGATACACAGCTGATCACAGCTAGATCAAGCAGAAAATATCCTCGAGACCCTGAAGGCTTTGATGATCGTCTATTCATTCCGCTTGGTGTTCCTATCGGTGCAACACTTGGTCCAGCAGCAGGAGAGTCGCTGCCTCCCAAATGACCGCTGCGGTCCATACGAATCCATAGGGCCCTATGGCAAAAGGAAACAAATTTGAACATATTTGAGCTAAGAAGACGGTAAGGGCCCCTGCCTTATTAAAGGGGACTCCTTACCTTCTTTTTGTCATCTCTACTCAGTCTAAGTCTAGGTGGAGGACTATGAGGGATGGTGACCTCTGTCGTCGAGGCCTGTGGCTTGGACACTTAGTCACTTTCTCGTCCTCGCCCAATTTGTGCCCTTTCCAGTGATGTCCATACGAAGGGGAAGAAGGAAGAGGGGTCGAGTCGGTTTGGTACCATGTACCTCTTGCTTGTACACGACCAGGGGAATCCTCTCTATTAATCAAACAACCAACAATGTCGACCTATGCAATTAAGAAAATGACTCTGAATAAAGCTAAGCAACCCCCAAAACCAAATAAGAAAATACCCCTGAATAAAGCTAAATGTTTCTACCCTGGACCTAGATATCCCAAATCTAGCCTTCTAACAAAAGTCTTGAACAAGACTCCTGTCCTTTAGCGCTTTAGTTAGGTTAGTGCCTTGCACTTCTTTTTTACTGTATATATTTGGTTCCTTCTTTGCATCCCTTCTTACATCCTTCCCTCTTAATTGCATCACTTGGACTCGCCAAACCCCAAAACCTTCTAATCATATTGTTTTACAAATTCCTTATTCACAACCCACCAACAATGGACCAAAATCTGTCTGGAAGGGATACCCCCTTGAAGCCACCATACTACCCTAAATAAAGCGTACCCTAAATAAAGCTAAAGAATCTTGCTGGCAGAAAAATGATCCACTGTATTCCACAGTACTATATTGAAAATGGGTCTTGAGAGGAGGGCGGCCCATTTCTGAATCAAAGGTGGACATCAGAAAAAAAGGCGATCTCTGATCATCTGTGGCCCTTTCGGTGCCCTTTCAGTCTTTCACAGCCCACACCGAAGCCCTTCCCCTTCCGGGGGAGTCATCCCGGCCCTTGCCTGTAGCAAGTTCTGCGAACGGCTCGCCTGTCAGGGCGAGACGAACTACGGCGCCGGGTGATGTGGAGATGAACCCTGACTTCATGTGCGGCTGCTTGGATCAGCTGATGGAACAATTCCTCGCTTTTTGTTGCTTTGTCTAGCCTTGGATGTCCATGCGAGTACATTAAAAAACTGATCGGACTCGCCCCAAGCCCAGTTGGATAATATAAGTACAAGTGTAGCTGCCAAAGGGAAAGCAAATCTGCCCTGCTTCTGAGCCTGTATATGTTCAGCCTGGGTGTCAAGTAGAGGCCCCACTTTCCTAGCTGTTTTTGAGAAACAAATCGAGCAA